ATAAAAACAAAATGAAGACCTACTTCTCTAGTCATTCTAGAACTAATTTTCATGTGACAGTGTACTGCACATCTAACTTTATTCCTTTTTAAAAAACCAACAGTTTTCAGCAGCATTTATTGAATAATTTTTGATTGTTCAAGTAATCTGTGTAGCCCTTAAACTGTATCACATGTTAGTAACTAGTACCAAGTCCTTCTGCCTACTTACTAAAAAGCTTTTCTAACCCATGTTGTCTCTAAGAAAACTAGGCAGTCATTTAATGAAAAATAAAAAATAATTATTAAAAATATTCATAAACAATTGGAAAACTAATCATTAAAGACTGAAACTGGTATATTGAGCTATATAAAAAATAAGTTTCTGTATTAAAAAATATCATAAATGAAAACAACTGCAATTTTAAATTTAGAAAAATGAACAAGTTAGTAGATGGGTAGGATGAGGGGTGGGAGTGAGGTTCAAGAGGGGATACATGTACGCATACAGGTAATTCACTCTACTGTACAGCAGGAACTAACACAGCACTGTAAAGCAATCATACTCCAATAAAAAAGAAACTGAAAAAAAAAACAAGAATATTTAACAGGTTAGGTTTAGGACTAGCTCAAGAAAAAGATTACTATCCACCCCCCTCCTCCCCCAAAATGGCGAAGAACAAAAATTAAAAGAAATACAAATGCAAGTACCTGAGAAACTCTGCACCAGGGAAAGAAATGCAAACTACAAGAAAAAATACTTTTTCCAAATTTGCAGAGAATATTTTTCAATAAAAATAATGTAAATATAGAACAAAACTTAGTATATACACCACCACCTGCACAAAGAGGGGGAAATATATTCAATATTTACTTGGAAAAATACACAAGAAACTGCTAATACAGGCTGCCTTTCAGAAAAGGAGACAGACGGCTGGTGGAAAGGATGAGAGAGAGATCTTCTATTATACACTGTTCTGTAAATTTTGATTTCTAAACCATATGATTTGGGCTTCCCTGACAGCTCAGTTGGTAAGGAATCCGCCTGCAATGAAGGAGACCCCAGTTCAATTCCTGGGCTGGGAAGATCTGCTGGAGAAGGGACAAGCCACCCACTCCAGTATTCTTAGGCTTCCCTTGTGGCTCAGCTGGTAAAGAATCCGCCTGCAATGTGGGAGACCTGGGTTCGATCCCAGGGTTGGGAAGATTCCCCTGGAGAAGGGAAAGGCTACCCACTCTAGTATTCTGGCCTGGAGAATTCCACATGATTTACTGCTCATGAAAAAAAACAATGAAATCATGGAAAAGCAAGGGTAAAACACTATAGGTATGGCAACAGTGAAACAAAAGTAATACATACCCTAATACAATGATTCTTCAAAGTGATCCAGCAGTATGGAGTGATTTGGTTTTGTTTCCTAACTTTCAATTATAATCAGCTGGTAGGTGCAACTATCCTTAAGCCAATTTTTTGTTTTTGTTTTGCAATTTCTTAGTTTTTTTGCCATAAGGGATGTAGGATCTTAGTTCCCTTAGTCTAGGAATCAAACCCATGCCCCCTACATTGGAAGCACAAAATCTTAACCACTGGACCACCAGGGAAGTTAAAACCAGTTTTGATTACTGTAGCTTTGCAGTTAAGTTCTAAAACTGGAAGTACAGGTCTTATTTCTTCGCAAAACTGTTTTGACAACTTGGGGTCCTCTGTATTTCTATATAAATTTTAAGATCAGCTTCTACCCAAAAAGCCACTGGGATTTTGGTGGGGATTGCACTGGCAGCAAATCATTAATAATATTAAGTCTTTCAAGGCTTAATAAAATGCTAATGCCTTTCCATTTATTCAGATCTTAATTTCTTTCCATAGTGTTCCTTTTTTTTTTAAATTGTACAAAGTTTCATACTCCTTAGTTAAATTTATTCTTAAGTATTTTGGTTTTGATACTATTGTAAACGGAATTTTTTTTTCTCTTTTTTTTTCCATTTATTTTTATTAGTTGGAGGCTAATTACTTTACACGAATTTTCTTAATTTCCTTTGCAAATTGTCCATTGCTAGTATACGGAAATGCTTCCCTGGTGGCTCAGTCAGTAAAGAATCCACCTGCAGTGCAGGAGACCTGGGTTCAATATCTGAGTTGGGAAGACCCCCTGGAGGAGGGCATGGCGGCCCACTCCAGGATTCTTGCCTGGAGAATTCCCACGGACAGAGGAGCCTGGCAGGCTACAGGGCATGGGGTCACAAAGAGTCGGACATGACTGAGCGACTAAAGTACACAGTAATGGAAACACAACTGACTTTTTGATACGCTGTTGGATTCAATCTGCATTACCGGCGTATTCTGACAACTGAAGATACACAAAAATAAACTACTTAAACATACTAAATGTTAACAAGCAATTATTTCTACATGGTGATTTTATAGGTAAGATTTACCTCTTCATATCTTTCTGTATTTTCTATAATCAAATATGAATATCTTTTACAGCAAAAAAAATAAGTATTTTATTGATTTTTCTCACTTATGAAAATATTATAAAGCAGAGATGAACAAACTGATGCCATATGTATGAATGTGAAATCTAAAACCAATGAAATCTAAAAATCATTACTCAAAGAAAAACACAAGATGCAGAATATAATTTTACAGTGGTGCTGTCACTTCAATTATGTCCAACTTTTTGTGACCCCACAGATTGTAGCCTGCCAGGCTCCTCTGTCCCATGAGATTCTCCAGGCAAAGATACTAGAGTGGTTGCCATTTCCTCTTCCATAATATACAGTACACTATATTCAATATAGGCTTCCCTGGTGGTTCAGATGGTAAAGAATCTGCCTGCAATTTGGAGACCTGGGTTTAATCCTGGGTCAGGAAGATCCCCTGGAGAAGGAAATGGCTACCCATTCCAGCATGGTTGCTTGGAGCATTTCATGAACTGAGGAGCCTGGGAGGCTACAGTCCATGTAAAATTTATAACCCTATAAGATGAAACTCTTATGGGTATATGGACACACAAAAATGTCATGACAATATCAAAACATGAATGATGAAAGTAATCTGATTCATAATAATCCCTGGAAATGCAGGGAGGGGTATACCCCAGGCAGTCTCAACTGTGGTGAAGAAGAAATTTTGTTTCTTAAAACAAAGGTATACACAAATTATTTTAAGATTAGATGTATTTGAGTTGAAAATATTCAGGTCATTGTAATAATATTCTCTATACTATTTGAAATGCTTCATAATAAAAATATTTTTGAGAAAAATTAAACCAAAATATAACCAGATGTGCAATTTTTTTTAAAGGAAATTTACCACTTTTGAAAAGAAACTTTTCAGCAATTACTAGAGACAGGACCCTTCCTTTCCCATGCATTCTTTATAACAATAACAACTTTTCGTCAGTGAAAATATTTGTTGATGACCCTAGATGATACTGGGTTTCATGAATAAAGAAGGAACTATTAGCCTGATTTTGGACCTCCCTGGTAACTCAGCTGGTAAAGAATCCGCCTGCAATGAAGAAGACCCTGGTTAGATTCCAGGGTCGGGAAGATCCCCTGGAGAAGCGATAGGATACCCACTCCAGTATTCTTGGGCTTTCATGGTGGCTCAGACAGTAAAGACTCCGCTTGCAAAGCAGGAGACCTGGGTTCGATCCTGGGTTGGCAAGATCCCCTGGAGGAGGGCATGGCAACCTACTCCAGTATTCTTGCCTGGAGAATCCCCACTGACAGAGGAGCTTGGTGGGCTACAGTCCATGGGTAGCAAAGAGTCGAACACGCCTGAGCAACTAAGCACACAGCACAGCCTGATTTAGGAGAGACCACAAATGAAACAAAACTGCTTACAGAGGCACGATGCTCAAAGTCACCAAATAAATATCACACCTTTCTTAAAACTTAACGCGGGTTAACAGAAGTCTAATTTTTATTTGGCCATGCCTCGTGGCTTGTGAGATCTTAGTTCCCCATCAGTTCTGAACAACCAGGGAAGTTTCAATAAGTTCTTTTAATAGGCTTTTCCCTCTTAATAGACTGATTTCACCATGCACAGCATGGCGAGAGTGCAGAAAAAACACCCAGAGCTGTCACAAAAAATAATGAAAAATGTTCTGGAATTAGATAGTGGTGATGGGTTACACAATGCTGCATCTACTAAAAACTATAAAAATGTTTAATTTTATGGCATATAACTTAGGTCTCAATAAAACAGTTTTCTTAAAAAGTAATGATGATTCTTCATTTAAAGTGGTATTCCAACAAAGCTCTTTCTTTCTCCATTTTACTATAATCACCACGGTGGTGGTGGTTTAGTTGCTAAGTTGTGTCCAACTCTTGCGACTCCATGGATTGTAGCCCGCCAGGCTCCTCTGTCCATGGGATGCTTCAGGCAAGAATACTGAAGTGGGCTGCCATTTCCTTCTCCAGCAGATCTTCCCGTCCCAGGGACTGAACCCAGGTCTCCTGCATTGCAGGCAGATTCTTTACCAACTGAGCTATGAGGGAAGCCCAATAATCACTATAGTTCGTTGAAATCAGAAACTCCATTTATTTATCTATTGACATCGTAAACTGTAACACAGAATCTGTTACTTTACAGCCCAAAACTCTTTCTCACAATTATCATTTTAAAAAATCTGTGACAGAAAAGCACCGTTTTAAGCACACTGTGAGCTGATTATTTACATTTTCCTTTAGTGGTAAAAACTGGTGGGAATTCAGGTTTAGCAGATTACTTTTGAAAAATGACATGTTTCTGAAAAGAAGGCCCTCTCCCCTGAAAATACCTTTTTCTCTCTAATCTAACACACATCCTTATCTCTACATAATATTCAACAGCCTCAGATCTAAAGCAGAATCTAGTCAACTCAAGAGAGGCATCCATACGCCAAGAAGAGTAGAAGGAAGCAGGCCTGGGGAAGGAGGACACTCCTGAGAGCCTAAGGGGAAACTTCCTGTTCTCATGCCTCAGTGGGAAGGAACAAGGGTGGGGACTGAGGCTCAAAGCTACGCACACACCTGCTCTTCTTCCGTGAAGGGCACAAGAGCCAGTGGCAGCAGGGGCTCCTCCTGTAGGATGGGCAGAAATTCTTTATCCAGAAGGTCTGAAGGGATCTGTTTGACCAAACACATGACATTGAGATTAATACTCTCCCTGCAATTCTAAGAAGCCAAAGCAAGAAAATATTGTTTGGTTTATCTGTTGCTGATTATCAAAGATATGGATTAAAAGCTTATTCAGTCACAATGAATATTCTGACAGGGTCAAACATTAAAAAGCCCAGTCACTCACTCCGTCCTCCCATCAGACTACCACACTCAGATTTGATACACAGCACTGACCCTGATACTCCAGAGTGCATATTTAACTCAAACCACAGATGGTGAGGAGAATTTTACAAGCAACTGTATCTGTTCTTAGCAATGATCATTAAAATTTGATCCTTAATCCATTAATAAAATTAAAAGCAAAGTACACTTAAGAGGAAAATGTTATTTCTCACTAGTTACATAACAGAAGTGTACTTTATACTGTTTGAGTTTTGATCATTTATAAGTAACACAAATGAAGTACTATATTTTAAGATTTTCTCCTCACTAAAAATTTTACATTTAACTCAAAAGGAAAAAACAAGAGAAGCATCTGCCCTTCTGGCTCCTAACATCTAACTGGAAAGAATGACAGATGCAATAAAGAGAAAACTTTCTCAGCCATCAGAGAGGGATAAAAATAAAGGTTGTGAGGAAATCAGTTAAACAAAGCATTAAGTCCTGCCCACTCTCCTGCTTCCATGAAGCTTTCTACTTCTGTGATGAAATCTTAGGTTTTCTTTTCTAAAACATAAAGTGTGCATCATTTAGAAGAGTCTCTGTGAACTACTGAAGGTTTCAACACAAGAAGAAAAGAGAGAAAAACCATAGCTATTTCATATATCAACACATAACTGTACACACTCAGAAATCGCATTTGCAATTTTGAACTCTTTCCTACGTTCTTACCTTGTTGTCTTTAAGGAAAAGTGCTAACATTTCTTCTCTCCCGTAACGATAGTCTGCTAACTTATACTTGGGCAATGCTGGCGAAAGAGGGGGGGATGTAATACTCCCACCGCTGGACAGAGCTCGGAGCCTAAAACAGTAGACAGAATAGAAAAACAAAGTGTCAAATGTGCTGGCAGTAAGGACTTTTTATTTCCACATAATGTAATATTTTCATTTTAGTTCTTCAAAAGAACAGAAAGGAAAAGCCATTATCTCAAGGTATCCAAGATTTTAGCTCTAATGCAATCTGCTGCTCACTAAGAAAATAGTTCATTGAGTTCATTGACAAATAAGTAGACAACTTCCTTAAGTATTGTGCCATATCCCTGAGACGTTTAGGGAGTGAGGAGGAGACACCTTTTTCCAAACTATAAAAGTAACATATAATTAAAACAAAAATGAGACATCACCTCACACGGGATTAATAAAAATTAATAACTCTAACAATACCAGCTATTGGCAAGGATGTAAAACGATGTAACATTCTCAAGTAGTACTTGTGGAGTTAAAAACTAAACCAGTCACTTGATTTTCTAATATTTAACAAAATATTTTTAAAAATATTTTTGCTCCCGAAGAGAAAATGCAAAATACATAGATAAGTGTAAAAAAGATACTTCTAAATATGCCCACATTTCATAATTCACTTTTAACAAAAGCAATTAATGATCAGTGTAGAGAATTTGAAAATGCAGTGGGAAAAAAAGATGAAGTACAAGGAGAAAAAAAATAAAAGCCATATTTACTGCTAAGGAAGAAAAGAAAGGTAAAAATATACTTTAAGCTGATAACAGAAATTACCTCAAAGGAAGAAAACTGGGAAAAGGGGAACAATTTTATAAGATGTTATTATTTTAAAAAGGAGTTGAACCTCAGCAAAAAATGGCAAGTTTTCCTCCAGGGAAAACTTCCATCAGGAGTAGCCCAAAGTTCTGCAAAGTAGTAGATTACAAGGGTAAAAGGGACCAAAGTTCTGCAAGTCAGTAGTTTAGCCCAAAGAAAATCCAACAGAAGCACTGAAATATATCCCCAAATTCACTAGGGCTGCAGGCTGACTTTATTCTATCGCTTCTTCTTTATTTACTAGGTAGAGTAGTTGTATAAAGAGAAACCTCCCTCTTATACTATCCGGTATTACCTAATAGAATATAGCTCATACAAGAAAACAAACAGCTTTTGTTCTTCCATTTATTAGTTTCCATAATAATGACTTAGTTCACTAACAATCCTCCAACAGTAAAATTCTTTTCATTAATGCATTTCATTTCACTGCAATTATTCTTAACAATACTCAAACTGTCTCATCTTGGCCTAGTGGGAGAGGTTTCAGGTTAGCTTCCAAGTCCTTCTGACCCAACCCTAGTAGTCTTTGAGAGCTTCACTTCTATCTGCTGTCAAATGTTCCAAAATCAGCTTATTTCTTGCCTCAGATGTGGAATCAACCATTTCACCAGGGAGCCTGATTCTCTTTGGTAATAAACAGGTTAAGACTACAGTCTGGGTGCTCAAAGTGTTCATTATTATTGGGTTGGTTTTTTGTTTTCTTTTCAATTATTCACGGACTTAGAGGTCATTGAGTCCAACTCCTATAAGACCTAAACAAGTCAGTAAGAAAACAACGTGCCCACAAAGGAGGACCCAACCACTGCTGAAGGACCTGCCAGCACGGCGGTTCACATCACATTCATGAACATTTGTGCTCTTCCCTGGAAACGTGGAATTAATATCCACTGAGAACTGAAGCTGGGAATGTTACATATACTCATTTAAGTTTCACAACCACTCCCAATGTGACAGATGAGATAAACAAAGCCAAGGAGTTAAGCCATTTACCCACAATCGCAGTCAGCAGAACCAGGAGTCAAAAACTAGGTTTTTTATGACTAAAAAGACCAAAATCTTTCCAACAGTGAGCTCTCAAATTTTTTAAATAGTCATGGTTCAGTCTGCCAAAAATTAATTTTTAAATATACATCTATATAATTAGAAATCAGTTTAAAATATCTTATACTAAGTCAATATGTTCCCTAAGAGTGTCTACCACTAGAGGGCACATCTAAGCGCTCTTCCATTTTCTAATGGAAAAATCATCCCAGTATCTACAATTATTATGTCTCACTAGAGACTTTCCAGCTCACCGTCCAACACCCCTAATTTCTTCATCTGCTCCTCAAGGTTTCAAATCCACCCAACAATCCCTAGAGAATGAGATGGTTGGATGGCATCACTGACTCAATGGACATGAGTTTGATACCTCCAGGAAACAGTGAGAACAGGGAAGCCTAGTGTTCTGAGGTTCGTGGGGTCACAAAGAGTCGGACTCGACTGAACAACCCCCAGAGGCTTTCCATGCCTAGGAACTGAACACGTCTTACAGGCACCAGACCTAAAGAGTAACATGACCAGGAATGCATACTTAAAAGAGTTCTCCAGCTATTGTGAAGGCAAGCTAAGCATAATGCAACCTAGAGAAGACAGTAGCCTGAACCAGAAGAATGGCTGTGCTCCACTCAGTAATCAACAAATCCTGTCCCAAGTCCTCCTTCATCCAGATATCTGAAAAGCTGAAATATATCTGGATAATGTCCTTCCCCAAAAACCCACCAGTGACCTTTACCTGCTCTAGAACCGTGCCCCATATAGCCCTCTCTTCTAGAAACTCAATCCTTCTCTATTAGCGTTCCACTCATCTCTCAATGTATGTAATAGTGATTTGCTTAAAAGGCCTCTAATGCAGCATCCCTCTCTGGCGATGCAGCACTGGTCATCTTCCTCTTCATCTCAGAGACGTCTTCACTGCCTCACTTCCTAACCACTTCAAAACCCAGCACAACGTGGCTTCTCCTCACTGCTCCACTGGTCTAGAACAGTTCAACCGCCTCAGTGCTAGGCCCGAGTGAATTCCCTCTCCTGACCATCTTCCTGGCCACATGGAGGTCTGTTTTGCACAGGAGGCGCAGTGCTCCTCCCAGCAGGACTGGCAGTCACTGACGGGTAGCAGCAGGGCCTTCTGAAACCAGCCTCCCCCACACCCAACACCCACAACCCTCACTTAACTGCTGCTCAAAATCCAAACTTCAGCTTACAGAAGTAATTTACAATGTCCATGCAGAAGTGTGAAGATGTACAAATCTAAAGCTTGCACTTCTGTGTAAGCTCATGACCCTCAGGTCCAGGTGTGAACTCTCCCCGACAGAGTACGGCTTTCTTATTCAACCACTCACGGCCCTTTAGGTCTAACAGACCCCAAACCTACTCAAAACCTCCTTCATCGCTGGTATTCCCAAAGGCAGGTAAGGATACCACCATCTACTGAGCAAATGGTTAAGAGTCTGGGAATCATCTCCCATACCCAATTATCACATCCTACCAGGTTTTAAGGGCTTCCCTGGTGGCTCAGTGGTAAAGAAACTACTTGCTAATGTAGGAGACATGGGTTCAATTCCTGGGTCAGGAAGATCCCCTGGAGAAGGAGATGGCAACCCACTCCAATATTCTTGCCTTGGAAATCCCATGGACAGAGGAGCCTGGCTGGCTATAGGTGATGGAGCCGCAAGAGTCAGACATGACTTAGCAACTAAAGAATCAAGTTTTAAATCCTAAATCTCTCAAACCATCCTCTGTCCAAGTAACCTTCTATTGTTCACACTTATTACCTCAACGGCTACAATAGCACCCTAAATGATCTAACCAGTCAAAGTCCATCCTCCACACTACTACCAGTTATTTCTTTCAAAAGCAAATTTGAATAAAATGCTCCCTGATGAACAATTCATTGGCACGCAATGATCAGGTAAAATAAAAAACTTCATAACATAGAAAGGCTACCTGTAAGCTCTTCTCGCCCATACTTCACAATATAGCCAAGGCAAAATGTCTTGAAATTTCCCTCTTAAACCTATAGTTTCCTGTCCACTTATCTTCAAACAGGCTTTCTGCTGTCTGGAATATTTTTTGTAATTGTTTTCACCTGGGACGCCATGGGAACTGCCTGGAAGTAAAGAGGTTAAGTGGAAAGGAAGGAAGGAAAAGATGAGAGACAGCAGGAGGGTAGGGGGTTGGAAAGAGGGTCATAGGAGGGAAAGAGAAATCTAGATCCTGGGTGTTTGGCTGCACACAAGTAACCATGAATGTTCATAGAACTAATTGGCTAGTGGAAGGAAAAGCTAATGAACAGTCATACAAATGGAGAACTAGCAAAAGATTTTGGAGACAATTTGATCCAATTTACATTTTAAGATTAGTCTGGCTGCAATGGGAACAGCAATCAGAAGAAGAGGAGCCAAGAAACATTAGAAGGCCTGTCCTTTAGTTTCTATCAGAGATGATGGTGGCTTATACTAGGCTGGAGGCAATGAAGATAGAAAGGAATGAAGAGGTTCAAGAGGTATTTTGGAGGTAGAATTGACACAGCACTGTGATGGACTAGACACAGGGATATAGAAGTAAAAGAAAATGATCTGGATAACTCCAAGACTTCTGGCTTGAGCTAACGGGCACACTGTGATGTTAAGATGAAATAAAAGAGGAAATTTAAAAGGGCAAAATTCATGAGCTCAGTTTTGGAAAACTATAAAGGATGAGATGCCTGCAGGCATCAAATGAGCAGCTGAATATCCTGTATAAGCATTATACTCCCTTTACAATGTGCATGTGTACATACCAAGTCGCTTCAGTCCTGTCAGACTCTTTGCAACCCTACAGACCATATAGCCTGCCAGACTCCTCTGTCCATGGGATTCTCCAGGCAAGAATACTGGAGTGGGTTGCCATTACATGCTCTGGGGATCTTCCCCCTCTTATAACACTGACAGCGAAATAACTTAGTGTCAGCTTCCCCACTAAATAAATAATTCAAAAGTAGGGACCATGTCCGTTGGCTTCCCTGGTAGGCTCAGATGGTGAAGAATCCACCTGCAATGCAGGAGACCTGGGTTCAAACCCTGGGTTGGGAAGGTCCCCTAGAGAAGGAAACGGCTACCCACTTCAGTGTTCTAACCTGGAGAAATCTATGGACAGAGGAGTCTGGGAGGCTACAGTCCATGGGGTCGCAAAGAATCGGACATGACAGCGACTTTCATTTTTTCATGATCCTTATCCTTGCTGCCTCCTTATCTCCTTACCTAACCCAAGACGTAAAACATGAGGCCCTTGATAAAATGTTTTCTAAACAACTCTTAATGTTCTCTTTTAAAATACACCCTAGGATAACAATAAATTCCTTCAGATGGCCGTTATCTTTTTACTTTTTGAAAACTGGGACTATTAACGCATTCCATCCTCCAGAATGTCTCATGTCCCTCACAACTCCACAAAGATCATGAACAGTAATCTAGAAATCTCAGCTTTGAATTCTCTTGCCCCATGTGCCCCACCGTAAGATCTGAATCATTCAACATTTACTAAGTGCCCACACTAGCTAAAGAATGGACTTACCAAAATTGAGAAATATAGTGCTTTTTTTAATGGAAGTAGCTCTTTTCTGAGTAAGGTAAATGGATATAAACAGACACAGCACGAGGTCCTAACTACTTTAACTCAGGTCTGAACAAAGTGTTTTGGGAAAAACAAAAGTACCTCATTCTTTGCAAGGGAAGACCTGGGTAAATTTCCTTAAGGCCATGAAGGTGAGACAGAAGAAACCCCAAACCAGGTTCCTTGGCTCCTTCTCCATAAAGCAAGCTATCTGTCTGCAATCATCTCTTTCCCCTATGATAAATTCGTTTATTATCCAATTTATTTGAATAGATTTTTGATGCTCAAAATAAAAAAATTAAAATACCAAAATAAAGGTTATAATGAATTTGTTTTCCTCCTTTAAAATGTCTTGAGGTACACAATCATTTGCAAAGAAAAAATAGGAGGATACAAACCAAAGTATTAACAACGGTTCTTTGGGTGGCAGAATTAAGGGTAATTGAGATCTTCTGTTTTTCCTTTCGTACTACTGCTTCCTCCAAGGTTTTCTGGAGTGAGTGTGAATTATCTTATTACTAGGACTAACAAAAAATTCTTTAAAAAGAAGAAACCTACCAGATTTAGAACTAAAAAAGTTTTTTTCTTTAAGGTAGTACTTTGTGTTTTGTTGAAAGTGAAATAAACAGGCAACAGATGGGAATTAAATTCATACAATCCTTCTTGTGGTCTGTCCATATATCATCCAAAGCCTTAAAAATTAAACTTCTGATTTAAAAATTCCACTTCCAAGATAGTATTCCAAAGGAAATCAACAGTAACACAAACAGAACTATTAAAGGATGTGTATACATATTGACAATAGCAAAATATTAAAAACGACTTTACTTTCCAACACTTCACTCATGCATTTAATAAATATTTATTGAGTATCTACTATGTGCCAGGCACTGAAGTTACAGCAATGAACAAAGTGTACAAAAATCAAGACCAAAGTACTTGCCCTCAAAGGAGCGCACAGTCTAGCGGGGGTTGAAGGATGGTATATAAATAATAAAGAAAATCAGTAAAATATCTGGCATGTTATATTTTTATATAGACTGCAAAGAAAAAATTAAACAGGGAAAGGAGGCAGGGAATGGGGGGGGATGCTTATAGATGGTCAGAAAACCTCTAAGATGGTAACGTTTGAAGTTAAAAGACTTAAAATGACTCATTTTATATATAAAAATGACTTACTCCTCCATTAACTACATCACACTTTTTAAAACTGCCTTCATTAAATCTATCATACACTTTTTTAAATTGCTTCAGTAATTATGGAATACATTTCTTTGTCCTAAATATAAAGACAAGCTAAGACCTAATGATTCCACCAGATTCTACCAGCTAAGACCTAAAGATTCTATTCAATCTTTTCTACTAGCTTTAAAAGTCCACGCTTATGGTCATCCATGGTCTGTCCTGACCACAATTTTCTTTGCTCTCTCATCTTCACTACTGTCAAATCAATCTTCATTTCACACAACTCTTACCAAACATTGTGTTTTACATGATGATAAAAATGATGTTAGTAAAAAGAGTACAGTATCACCAAATGTTCTGTATGTTTCAAAGTTACACACTGATTCAGTGTAATCCTCCTCAACTATGATTCTCAAGTTATTCTGGACACAGTTCCTTACCTCAAGTTTCACAATGAATGCAATGGTACATGCAGAAAAAACACAGCAACAGTCTCTATTCATACTGCAGCTGTCTAGATCAGGGTTACCTGAGTTAAGTAACTTAATATACGAGATATACTATGTATATATACGGAGCTTTCCTGGTGGCTCAAATGGTAAGGGATCCGCCCATAATGCACGAGACTCCAGTTCGATCCCTGGGAGGGGAAGATCCCCTGGAGGAGGGGATGCAGTATTCTTGCCTGGAGAATGCCATGGACAGTGGAAAAGCAGCCAGATAATATGGAAACAAATGAGTGTGGCTGTGTTTCAACAAAACTTTACAGTCCCATGGCCATAGTCTGTCAACCCATTTAGCATCACATTAAATGTGCAATGACTCTACAGAGAGCATCAGCAGGAAGGAGTGGTTCTTTTCCTTTAGTTTTAGATAAACTACTAGTACTGTCTCTCTCTCTCTTAACCCTTAACAGAGAGAGACTCAGACAAAAAAAAAAAAAATTCCTTAAATTAGCTGATGATTTTAACCATGTTTTCACAAAGAAAAGACATGTGAGTGTGTAAGTGCAAAACAGCAGCAGTTACAAATGAAGGCAAAAAACTGCACACAAAATGGTTTACACATTGAGCTGTATGATTTAAAGCCACCTGATAAGACGTGAATAAGGCTTTAGCTACAAGAACATGCATCAAAAAATTTTTTCTAATAATGAAAAACTGAGAACAGCCTATATTTGCTACATCTAGAAGACTAATTAAATAAATGATGGTACATCCATACAGTGCAACCATTTAAGGTAACAGAAAATATTTATTGATAAAAAAGATACTTTTGGTGTGTTTTTTTAGACAAATTACAAAACTGAATGTACAGTATTATCCCATTTTTATGAAAATAAACGTACATTTACACAAATGAGCATACATAAAGCTACCTAGAATGATATACCAACCTATTTACAGTGGTTACCATGGATAGTGAAATTACGGTAGTTATATCCTCTTGTGGATTACTTGTAATTTCTAATTTTTCTAGAAGCATATATTGATTTGGTAATAAAGTTATTTTTAAAATATAAAATAAGAACTAAAACAGGTGATTTAGGTCAACATTTCCAAAATAAATTCTCAAAGCATATAACTTGCATCTGGTTCTTAAAACTTCAAATGATTTCTCCTCAGCCTCCAAATGCTAGCTACATGGACCAAGAAAATTAAGGAATTACATATAGAAAGAAATGCATATAATAATTTAAGTTAATAAGAGTCTTCAAATAGGAGGTTACTACAGGAAGTCTGAAACATTTATCAAAGCACCACCACTGAAACAATCAAGGACATTTATGACACTATTCCAATCATCTACTTTATATACTGCCTCTGATTCAAGGTATGAATGGGGAAAGCAACTATCATTATTCACGCCACTGACGAGGATCTTCAATCACCAGCTTTGGGGGGAAAGGAAGAAGAGGGGGAAAGAATCACACTACAATGTGATGGATCTCAAAATCCCATGAGAATTCCATATTCAGGGTCCAAACATATCTGTAAGAGACTCAAAGGTTGATTAATTGGTATTACGGCAAATGCTAACCTGATTCTAGATGGGCTATAGCCAGTATAATTCTGGATCACCTATGTAGCCCATCAATAAAATAAAACTCAAATAATAATTCAATAAAAACTATTTTTTCCAAATAAGTATCAACAGCACTCATGAAACATTGTAGCAGAAAACATATGAACATTAAAATGTTACAATTATATAAAATTATACTCACACCTATATAAGGGTTCAAACACAAAGTAAATAATTTGCTAGGGTGGTGGGACTATGAGGAGTTGTAAATTCATTATCATTACACAACCAGAATAGGAAGACTTTTTAATAAAGGATAAATGCAGTCACTAACCAAATATAAATTATTCCTGACTGGCTATATTGTTTTCAACTAGGCACATAAAGCAGTCTCTAAAACATGCACATTTTATAAGCCCCCAACACCTGCACAAATACCTTACTACTGAACTAGTCATGCAACTCTGAACAGGATGAGGTTTTGAAAACTCACCATTCAGGCCCAAAGTTCAGTGTCTGCGTTTCCGCTGCCATTCTTTTCCGTATGTTTACAACAGATTTTTATATGCAGAGAAACCTGTTCAAGAGAAAACATCTCCATACAGTTGGTCAAGACTGAAAGCAGAATTCCAGCCCAGAAAGTACAGTGAGGAAGGGTGTTTTGCTTATGCTCCTCTCAACCAGAATGAGGTTTTTTTAATGCCTATTTATAATACAGCAGGCAAAGTAAAATGAATAAATCCACCCTTAACTCCAATCCACCATCTTTTTATGTTTACACAGGAAGAGGAGGCAAGGTGTAAGAGATGCTGGTAAGACAGGTGGTAGCGGACCATGCACCATGCGGGCACTGGAGACCAAACGAAGGATTTCCTTTTTTCAGCCTTTAGGCAGTGGGGAAGGAATGAGGGGTAACAGATTTACATTTTATTAATAATTTGTATTACTCACTTGCAACGGCTCACATCAAAGATTCTTAAAGACCCCTCCTTATCTATCTCACAGCTTCTGCCACAACTTTCCCCACTGTTTCCTTTACACTCTAGGGATTCTTTAAAAAGTTATCTTGGACCATCAAGTGAAAATAATCCACAAATCAATTTCACGAGTCATCTTTCAAGAGCAATTTTAGGATATCAGAACTTAAGGTGAAATGTCAGACAGGGAAGGACAAATACTGTGTATTACTTATATGTGGAATCTTTAACAAGCCAAACTCACAGACCATGAAGTGGTGGTTACCAGGGACCGAAGGGTGGGAGACATGGTGAGAAACTGGTCAAAGGTAAAAACTACAGCTTTAAGATTAACAAGTTCTGGGGATCCAGGGCACAGCATGGTGATTACAGCTAATAATACTGTATTATATATATGAAAGTTGCTAAGAGTAGACCTTAAATATTCTCACACACAAAAAAATAAGAAAAGGTAATTATGTGATGGGAAGGAGATGTATGCTATGGTGACAATCATTTTGCAACATACATTGAAAAATTAATCAAATCAACACATGAACACCTTAAACCAAGACGTTATATTAATCATATCTCAATAAAGCTGAAAAAAATGAGTTTAGAAAACAGAAAATACTATAAATATTGTAAACATATGATAAATATCTGCAAGATTTATCACATCACCCTGACTGTTCTTTAAAAGATCTAAAACCAATAAACTACATACTGATCTAAAACACAGAAAGGGCAAAGTAAAAACGTGCTAACGTCCATAATCAGCTATTTATCTGCCCTCTCCCTGGAAGGTATTTCTGATGATTGGATGGCATCATGGACTCAATGGACATGAATTTGAGCAAACTCCAGGAGACAGCAAAGGACAGGGAAGCCTGGTGTACTGCAGTCCACGAGGTCACAAAGAGTCGGACAAGACTCAGCAAATGAACAACAAATGTCAACCACGTGGGTTCCAGGGAGCGTTCCTTCTTACTTAACGCTGATTACCTTTCCCTGGCCAGATAAGCGTACACACCAGACTCAAATGAGATCAACTTAGTGCCCTCACCACCTCACAAGCAATTGATGATTCCAAAACAAGGTAAGGCACGTGGCTTTTAACTTTAAACTCTCTGAAACTGGAATGCACCTTAATGAGTGCCATGCTACAACTGCTACTGGCCCACAGTGGGAGTTGTGTCACAGTTGTCATTGTGTGCACAAGGATAAAACCTGGTCAGAGCTGCTCATTATTGTCATCTTCTCAATTGTGTTGTTCCTACTAGCTGATTTTAAGGGCTGCTTACAATGCCTTCAAAAAGATTATGCTATAATTCTAAATTGAAACATGTTGTGTATCAAAAAAGAAAGCAAATAAAGCCATGGAATAGTAGTGAAGTAACTCTCCATCACTGGAGAAATTACTGCACGTGTTTTACAGAACTTGAGAAAGGAAAAACACACATAAAAAAGATAAGCTTGTGGTTTGTTAGTGAGACTTGACACTGCACAATCCACAAGGCCACATGAACCAGCCCTGAAGTATTAATATTTAAAGGGGAAAACATTAAACAGCTTAGAATGCTTTTACTGCATTTCAAAATGACAAAAGAATAATGGAGCACTCTCTTAAGAAATGTTTCATCATCAATACCCTTAATGACATGATACTACAAAGGTGGGGAGAGCGAGGAGGAAGGAGACTTCTACAATTCTAAGTTCTGCATGATTTAGAAAAGTCATATAATGTGCATAAGCTGAAGAATATCTAAATAGAAGCTGAAGAATACCTTAAAAACTGATTTTACTCCTATTTTCCTTTTAACATATGCACAAAGTATATACTGCCTGATGAAAATCTGTTAGACTTATTTGCTAAATAAGTTTAAAAGAATTTTTTAAAAACTGTAAAATAAAAATTCTAAGTAATTAAAGAACTATGACATCAGTTCACTCTGCAGTATGATTTACTTCTTAGTGATACATAAATGAAGAATCTCACAAGTGATGCACACTATACTCCATTAAATTATGGTATGCTGCTGCTGCTGCTAAGTCGCTTCAGTCGTGTCCGACTCTGTGCGACCCCATAGACGGCAGCCCATCAGACTCCCCCGTCCCTGGGATTCTCCAGGCAAGAACACTGGAGTGGGTTGCCATTTCTTTCTCTAATGCATGAAAAGTGAAAAGTGAAAGTCAAGTCGCTCAGTCGTGTCCGACTCTTCGCGACCCCATGGACTGCAGCCTACCAGGCTCCTCCATCCATGGGATTTTCCAGGCAAGAGTACTGGAGTGGATTGCCATTGCCTTCTCTGAAATTATGGTATATCCCTACTGAAATCACTTGTCAAGGGAGTGATAATGACCAGACCTCAGGTAAGGTACCCACCGTGATTTAAGACAAGTATCCTCCTTACAAAAGGCAGAGCAATCAGAGAACAAATTGCCAACAAGCAGTGGATCACACAGAAAGCAAGGGAATTCCAGAAAAACATCTACTTCTGCTTCACTGACTACACAAAAGCCTTTGACTGTGTGGATCACAACAAACTGGAAAATTCTTAAAGAGAGAGAAATACCAGACCACTTTACCTGCTTCCTGAGAAACCTGTATGCAGAGCATGAAGCAACAGTTAGAACTGGACATGGAACAACAGATGGGTTCCAAATTGAGAAAGCAAGATGGCGTACTGTATATTGCCACCCTGCTTATTTAACTTACACGCAAAGTACATCATGCGGAATGACGGACTGGATGAATCACAAGCTGGAATCACAACTGCTGCAAGAAATATCAACAACCTCAGATGTTACCACTCTAATGGCAGAAAGCCCCTTGATGAAGCTGAAAAGAGGAGAGTGAAAAAGCTGGCTTAAAATCTAACATCCAAGAAACTAAGATCACAGCATCCGATCATATCACTTCATAGCAAACAGAAGCAGAAAAAGTAGAAGCAGTGAAAGATTTTACTTTCTTGGGCTTCAAAATCACTGCAGACAATGACTGCGGTCATGAAATTAAGACACTTACTCCTTGCAAGGAAAGCTATGACAAACCTAGACAGCATATTAAAAAGCAGAGACATTACTTTGCCCAAAAAAAGTCCATCTAGTCAAAGCTATGGTTTTACCAGTAGTCATGTATGGATGTGAGAGAGGGACCATAAAGAAGCATGAGCATAGAAGAACTGATGCTTCTCAACTGTGGTATTGGAGAAGACTCTTGAGAGTCCCTAGGACTGCAAGGAGATCAAACCAGTCATTCCTAAAGGAAATCAATCCTGAATATTATTTGGAAGGACTGATGCTGAAGCTGAAACTCCAATACTTTGGCCACTTGATGCGAAAAACTGACTCATTTGAAAAGACCATGATGTTGGGAATGATTGAAGATGGCAGAAGGGAACACAGAGGAAGAGACAGTTGGATGGCATCACCGACTCAATGGACATGAGTTTGAGTAAGCTCCAGGAGATGGTAAAGGACAGGGAAACCTGGTATGCTACAGTCCATGGGGTCGCAGAATCGGACACACCTGAGTGACTGAACAACAAGTGGTGGGTGGTTTAGTCGTTAAATTGTGTCCAAGTCTTTGTGACCCCATGAATGTCAGCCCACCAGGCTCCTATCCATAGGATTTCCCAGGCAAGAATTCTGGAGTGGGTTGCCATTGTCTTCTCCAGGGGATCCTGGAACCTACTTGGCTAACAAATTGACCTGTAGAGCCTACAACTGTAACATTTTGTTGTAATATGAAACATCCTGAAGGAGTGTTTTTTTATCACCATTTTAAGCCCCATCTAGTCAACTGTTTTATATTCAAACCGCTGTGGGATTCTGACCATTGGAAAATAGCTCTGAATTAATAAAGCAAGTCAATACTTGAACCAGACTGAATTTATAAAGCAAGTGAATCTTAATTAAAAACTGAATTATTTGTGATATTTGTGAAAATACTAAAATCATTCTTAAGAGATTTAATATGCTTTTACCCTTTAAATTACTACCATAAGGCTACACAGGTCCTGGAAATACAAACTCCAGGAGTGTCATCACCACAAAGGATGCAAATGGAGCCCCTAGAGGCTGTGCTGTACAGGCAATGGTCTTGAGTTACAGAAGCCCTGGATTCACGAAACACTTGAAGAACATCAACCAAGGAAATCCTTTTCCTGTCCTCTGTCACTTATTCCACCTATAAACTTTCAGGAAGAGTCAAAAACTACCATACAGCAGAAACACTGAAAGCTCAGAAGTTTCTTTAATGCCTTGAGCTGGGAGCCTCACTACCATTTATAATGTGGGTTTCCATAAGATTATGCCCTATGGTAGTCTTCTGGACAACTCTTATGAACCTAAGGCAGTAATCCAAGCAATTTAATTATCAACTAAAGAGACCTACATTACTCAGAATGGTGTTCTGCTCATTCTCCTTTATGAATTAAAGCAGGAAATCTAAAAGTTATCACTGTTGAAGAAATCTAATTTAAGGTACTATAGCTTCTAATTCTGAATTCCCCACCCCAGATTGCTCCTTCCAAATCAAATTAAATGAGCCCAGTTCTAATAGATTTATTTGTA